CTGGGACTCTCCCATATAAATCATTCCATGTGAGCATCTACTTCACTGGCTCAGTAATCTGGGCTTCCCCCACCCCCTCTCCAACAGGTGGAGGTGTCAGAAGCATGAATAAATGTCTCTAATAGGGTGCCCTTCTAGCAGGGAGCAGCTAAGAATGTGCTTGCCATCTGGCTGGAAAGAGTCTCAAGACTACCTAGAGTGAAGGGACAGAATGGGATCAGAGTCACATAAACCATCTTTGATTCTTTAAAACGACACTGAAGATAGTTAATGAAGCACTTTATACTTTGGGTTCATCTCCCTATTTCTAATCATAACACCCAATAGGTATATTATTCTGTAATGACAGAATCAATGTATGTATTAATTATGTCATTAGATTTGAGATATGACGAGTACACATAGGAACAGCTAGTAATGGCGGGACTAGTAGTCAGAATAGTTCTCTGACTAGGTTGTTACCACAGGTAACCTTAATTGAATTCTATGTGGTTAGCCCTCACAACCCGTGGACTGGAGAGAATCACAACTCATCATGTTGGAGGTCATGTGAGGATAGTGTATGGGGTGAGACTGATCGAGATGGATTAGTTTATCTCAATTCTTGATAGAGAACATCAAGATATCTTAATGCTATCTCCAGTGAAAATAGGCTACACACTTACTTCCCCTTTCTCCTGACCTCTTGCAAAGGTCTGAGAAGGTCCCCAGAGAGTGATCACAGCCTTGCAGTTAGAAGCTAAGGCAGGTGATTGCACTTGAAGGCAACCCTCAGATTCCCAGGTCTCCGCTAGGAGTAAAACCAGGTGCAAATTATTTGCACAGCACTTAAAAGAACCCCACGGGAACCTCTCTGATGATAATGGGACAGACGTTTCCTCTAATGTCCTATGGTCAAAGGGAGAGGGGGTGAGGACCAAAGGAACAGAGATAGAGCTGGGAATACACATGAGATCTTCTGTCCAGCAGATGCTCACTTCAGGGGCCTGTCCCAAAAGAGAGCAGATCTCACACACTTGAAAGGACCTCTTTTGACAGCTCAGACGGCCCGCCCTTCCCGAGGCACTCTAACTCTATTCCTTATGTGGTGAACAATGGTATTTTTAAAGCCAGCAAACCCACAGTGGTCTGTCCTGCTTTGCTATTTTCAGCTTATCATCTCAAGGATCGCGCCGAGATATACCTATTGGATTGCCCCCCACATTAGAGAAGTCTGATGAGGGCAGTGGTGACCGAGGGCAGTAAGCCAGGAAAAAAAGTCAGAAGGTCATTTCTAGGGTCATGCCTAACTCCTCATCCCGCAGCCCTGCACTTGAGCTCTAGAGGTGCAGATGCACACTAGTGAAGAAATACAGGAAGAGTGAGGGGGCCGCTGGGAAGGAGGACAGCTGGCACAGGAGGGGAGGACTGCTTTACCTTTCGGTGCAGCGCTGCTGTCATTTGAATTGCTTGTCTGTGGTGCTGGCCATGGAGTATGAGGACTGACATTGCTCTCTGACCAGCCTAATATTCAAAACCAAAGGACATTAGATCTAGCAGGAACCGGCACACCACCCCACCGGCTGCTGAGCATACATATGGTTCTAACCCATGGTGGCTGCCAGCAAGGCGGCAGAGGATGATGTGACAAGACCTTTCTCTCCTCTTCCTCAGACTGGGAAAACTTGGGGGGAACAGGAGAAGCACTGGACCATATCCAATTGAAATACGTGGGAAATTAAGGAAGACAGTGGACTTTGAAAAGCAAACAAGAAGGTGCTAGTATCAGAGCACTGTTTTGCCTTTTTTTTTGTTTTATACCCACTTTCTTGTCGAGTATGGCGATTTCATCACCACACCAAAAACATCAGAAAACCAAGAATCATGGTTTCCTGTCACAAATAAGGAAGGCTTAAAACTGAACGAACATAGCAATAGAACTCGAAACCACACATCTCTACCAAGAAAGTAGTGTGCATCTATTTCCTGTACATTGAGAAGTTGAAATAATACTGTTAAATAAATAGCAGTCCATCCCAAATAGATGAGTGGAGAGAGCTCATGTGGGGTTACCTTTATGCCATACCTTACAATGTCATCTGGCTTGTGTAACTCAGCATTATACCCTTGTGCCCTGCCTGCAGGATAGAGGCTTTCAGCACTCTTGCTTTAGGGAAGCAAGTCCCATTCCCCACAACATAAACATATATATGTATGTATGTATATGTATATATATGTATGTATATATTTGAATCTCTGTTTTAGTTCTTTGTGTTCAAAGTCTTATCTCTTGAAAGAGTCATGAAAGTTTTCCTTCTGAACACTCCAAAATACTTAACACAGGGCAGGTAGGTGTTTCCTGATTAAGCCCACATTAAAATGTTGACCTTCAAACGGCATCACTATGAGGATCATTATGCCTAAAACTCTTCCTTTTACTGAGATGGTCTTGCTTACAGTGTTTTGTATTTCTTTGTAAGGAATAATTTAGTCTCCAGCAAAGTCCTCAAGAGAGACTGTGTTTAGATTGCAGAGTTCAGATTGGTCAGGGAACACAGTTTCCAGCACGAGAGTATCACTCTTTATATGCTACAAAAATTACATGATGATTGAACACCATTTGTTTATCCTGCTATTCTAATGTCCACACTTTCCAGTGGTCTCAATTATAGAATTGTGCTATTTTAATTAGTTTGTTTTTGCCACATTCAGGAGTCATGAACCCTTGAAGCCATGGGTCATGTATTATTCATTTTTGTATCATTTAGGACACGGGCACACAGTGGAGGTTCGGATATGTGATTCTTGAATTAAGACGAAGTATTTAACCCCCCCCCACCCCCACCCTTTAAATGGCAAGACACATACTCTTGGTGTGTTATCATAAGAGATGGCAACGATGTACTTGGCAGTCCAGATGGTCTCATCCTCACTAGTTAGGTGTGCTTCATTTCAGACGGGCAGTACACAGACTTAATAATGAAGCCTGACAAGGAATGAGGCCGACGGCCTGCGACCCACTGCCTCAGTATAAGACAGTGGGAACCAGAAACGGTTTTGAACGCCGTTGCTATTCCTTGGAACGGTACTTAAACATACAGTCAGCATGATTCACATACAATCAGACGCTTCAGGTGTCACAGGAGCCTTCTGGGATGCTGGAATTCCAACTTCGCCATCTGAATTTACGAGAAATCCTTGACCTGTTCTCTTACAGCTAGTGAATTTTATGGCATGTAAATTATACTCCAATAAAACAACTTTAAATGACCAGTATTTGGTGTGATCCAAGAATAACAAAACCTCCCCAGTTCCTAGAAAATTGGCCCTTAACCATTTTCCTTCTAGACCCAAATCACATAAAAAAAAAAAAAATAGTAAATGTGGAAAGTGAAAGTTGTGGGGCAAATGTGTGCCCAACAGCACCAGTTACAGGCAAGGCTGAGAGAGGCAACACTAACTTGGTAACAGTCCCCTCTTCTCTTCAGTCCTTCATGGTCATGACACCCGCCCACCAGCAACCTGCGTCTCGTTCCCTCCAACCCTGCAGCCTGTCTCCTGACACACGTCACCTGTAAGCCAGTTAGAGATGCTTTCCCCACGTCATCGGTGAGCTGGTTAGAGGAGCTGACTGACTGAAATGGAATCCTTGAGGCCAATGTAAGTTTAGGCAACAGTGCCCTGGATGGCCTGTTGGCTGGTTGGATCAACATGTTTGTTAGGAGGTCAGTGGGGCCCGAGCACAGAAATGGGCCCGTTTAGGAAGCAGAGGAGCCGACTTCAGGGCCTCATCTTTCTAGACAACCACAAGCAAGTTTGTAGCTTTAGGCTCTTGGATCTCATTGTGCTCTCTGAGTGAGTTCGCAGAGGTGCCACTTGCAGAGAGAACCTGAATCAAGTCGAGGGAAAAACTGTGGGGAGAGTACAGGAGTCGATGGCTCCCTGCCCCCATGTGCCATTTGGTAATGGGAACTCAACAAGAAAATGCTCCCTACTTCAAAACCATGCATGGCATTCTTTTCCAAGCATGGCTATCAAGAATGCTGGAGTAGAGAGGGGTACTCGGCTCACTGTGTTTTTTGTCCTATGAAACTGGGGTATGTTCCTCAAGGCAGCAGGAAGCACTCTACGGTAGAGCTTGCCTCCCTGTATGGAACGTGCGACTTGAAAACTTACAAATGAACCTGTATTATTGTTTCATTTGAAAAGTACCAGAAAAATAAACTGTTTTCTCTTTACCTAAAGACTTGTTTTAATTTTGTGTATGACTGTTTCTGTACATGGGTATGTGTGAGTGAGTGTGGATGCTGTGGAGTCCAGCGGCATCAGATCCCCCTGGAACTGGAGTTGCAGGTGGTTTTGAGCTACTTCACATGGGTGCTGGGAACCAAGCTTAGTCCCTTTGCAAGAACAATACTACTTTTAGTGGCTAAACCATCTTTTCAGCACCCTAAATTGTATTTCCAAGCATACCACGTAAAGGGATGATGATGATGATGATGATGATGATGATGATGATGATACAAGATTTCTTTATAAAGGAAAAAATGTATTTTCTTTCAGGGGATGCTGGGCAAATGCTGGGTATATGCTAGGCAAATGCTGTCACTAAACTACACCCTCAGCCTACAAACGTCATCCAGCTGAATTCCTCTGTGACTGGGTACTATTGGGTATTGCTCAGCTACAGTCAGAAGCCGCACAAGCAATGCTGAGAATCTACGAGGGGAGGCTTCTTCACAGCAGAGAACACACATGTAAGAGGAAGAAGTTGAAGCCATCTCCTCTTTGGGAGCTGAGATGGTGTGATAGTGTTCCACAGCAATTTTAAAGACACACATGCATCCTGACTCCGCCTCCCCATGGTAGGCATAATTAACAGCCAGTACAGAGTTACACTCATGCCTTCACATCCATCTAGCAGCTTGAATATGGGTATTGGGGGAGATAAAATGGCACTGATGTGATACCAGCTATTGAACAAATCTCTAAGGCAATTTCAGCCTCCTTTATACAGCTCTGAAATTATTGAGGGGAAGGATGCTATGAGGGTGATTATGGATGGAACAACAACCAGATTTCAAATGTCTTGGCTTCTGTCAGGAAAAACTGCTATTGAGAGAGAACTTAGTGTTGCTAATATCCCAGTATTTGCCATCAACTGCTCCCTAGTCAGTGAGAGTTGGCAGAGGCATTTTAAACACATAGGTGTGGCCAGAAAGATGTCTCCCTACCTCAAGAGAAATTCCTTTAAGAGAGGGGTAGTGAAGAGCGGAGACAGGAGCGAGCTCCAAGCTGAGGAACAGACAAGCTCTTCCAGCTCTGGGCTCCTTTGATATGTCAACGTGCTACCCATTTGCAGAAACACACAGAAAAACTTGCTAGAGCAGCCCTGCTGCCCTCGCATACACATGGGGAAATACTAGCCAGCCAGAACTAACATTGCCCAGCAAGAGGAGCAAGCGGAGCCAAAGCACATGGGCCAGAGAACACTTTGCTGTGAACGCCCCTCACCACTTAAAGCAAAAGGCCCAGGCGGTGTCGCTATCTCAGCCTGAGGGCCTCAGGGGTGGGGGATCGGCTATGAAGGACAAAATCGGAAAAGCCCAGCAATGGTGGCCGTAAGCCCCTCAGGTACACTCCACACCTGCAAGGTGTTTGTAAGGCTCCTGTCTCACTGGACTGCAGCACCAGTGAACTGGGATCTTGTGGGGAAAACTAAGTAATAGCAAAGCTAGAGAGCAGGCTCTCAGTGGAGCTATGCTGAATTCACATTTTTGTATACCTCAGCATGTGTGAGGAGTAATTGCTCAAGTGTTATCTAAAGGAGTTCACAGCTTAGGCTTGTCACCTTTTGACCCAGCATCCTGTCACTTGCCAGGTGCTCTCTCTCTCTCATTGCTTGCCACCCACCCATCCATCCTTCTAGCAAGCATCTTTTAAACATCCACTGAATTCTAGGCATTGAGCTATGATCTGAAAATATGGTGAGTAGCACAATTGTGGATCCTGTTTCTATGACAACCTGAGGAAGAGACAAATGAAATCAGTTTTCCCATAAGGTGAGGTAAGAGGGTGATTTAAGTACAGGGTGTAATGGGAGTGTGGAGCAGCAGGAGCTAATGCAGATTGCTGGGGTGTGGATGAACTGAGACTGAGGCTTGGGGGAAGTCAGCCAAGTATAGCACTATGCATGTGTAGGTGTGGATGGCATGCTCTGAGGAGAACGTGTGCCAAGGCCCCGTTGGTGGAAAGATCTGGGTGCACTAAAGCTCAGTACGACTGGAGTCCAGTGGATGAAGAGAAAATATACTTCACGGCATGGTGGTGCATGTCTGTAATCCCAGCACTGAGAGGCTGAGGCACAAGGATTACTAAAAGTTTGAGGGCAGCCTTGGCTACCTAATGAGTTGCAGGACAGTTTGGTCCATATCTCAGCACTACCATCTATAAAAGCGTACCGGTTCTTTGGCACAGTTGTCATTGAGTCATGCTAAGTAAAGGTGTGGGAGTTGTGGGCAGCCATGAAACTGGGGCTAGGTTCTAAAGGATCTTGTAAACCAAGTTGAGAATTTCGCCCTCACTACAGTGGTGGAAAGTGCAAGAACTTGGCAAGGCACATGACCTTCTGAGGCTCCTGGATTTCCTCATCTACAGAGTGGGTGGAGGAGTTGGTCTTGAAGGATCCTTTTATACAGCACCAGAGGCGTTTGAATCCTGCAGCTCTCCAAATTCTACCTTGTTGTTGCTCAGCAGGCCCAGAAAGTTCGGCTACCCCGATGGAGTTAACAATCCCACTGTCCCAAGCAGAGTGCCCACGCTGTGTTCATGCCATAAATACACCCGGCTCTCTTTCCCTTGACATTTTTTCCATCGAGTACTGGAAATGTTAGTTACCTGGCACCAGGCTAACCCAGGAGGGGAAAGAGATGAGCTCAGCCTGAGGTTTATTTTCGATAACCCAAACCTAAAGCCCACCCAGATGGTAATAGCATCTGAGAACTTGGCAAAAATGAAGACTACCCTGCAGGAACACAAGGCTCTGTGATTCTGTGACTCCAAGGAGAGGTTCAGCTCTGCTTCGCAGAATCCAAAGCTGAAAGATCTGCTGGAGCATTTATCCTGAGCAGCTGGTAATCTTTCCTGTATTGGAGTCTACTTTTAAATTCAATTTTTAACGTTGAAAAGGCTTCCAAACCTTCCTTAGTGTCTGCTTGGTCAGCACTCTCTGGCTGGCTTGCCTACTCATATTTAGAAGCCCCAGGAAGGCATAATTTTCTCATCACTTCATGGGTACAGGAAGTCCTAGCCACATGTGATGTTTAATTTTTGTCAACTTAATACAAAATAGTCACCTAGGAAGAGGGACCCTTAGCTGAGAAATTGCCACCATGAGAGTGACCTGCGGGCATGCTTATGGGAATATTTTCTTGATTAATGGTTGAAGAGGGGGCCTAGCCCACTGTGGGTGGTGCCACTCTGGGGCAGATGGGTCTGGGTTTTATAAGAGAGCAGGCTGACTTGGTCTACTGTATGACTCCTAACTGTGGGAGCAGGGGCTGTCCCTAACGCTTTGGCTGGCTCTTGGGAACCTATTTACTCCTCACACTGGATTGCCTGACCCAGCCTTAATACAAGGGGAGGTGCGTAGTCTTACGGCAATTTGATATGCCATGCTTTGTTGATGCCCAGGGGAGGTCTGCTCCTTTCTACACAGAAACAGAGGAGGACTGGATTGAGCCGGAGAGACAGAATGGGAGAAGAAGGGAGGCGGAAATGGAGTTGGATGTAAAATAAATAAATTAGTTAAAAGAAAGACAGGAAGAAAGGAGGGAGGGAGGGGAGGAGGGAGGGAGGGAAGGGAGTAGGCAAGCAGTGTACACTCAGGAGAACAAGCCAGTATTCCTCATGGCTCTGCTTCTAGGTTCCTGTTTGAGTTCCTGCCACGGCTTTCCTCAATAATTACCTGTGGAGCGCAAGTGTAAAAGAAAATAAACCCTTTCGTCCACAGGATGCTTTTCATTCTGGTCTCTGTCAGAGCAACGGAAAACAAGCTAGGCTACCCCCTCTCAAGCCAATAACTCCAGACACCCTGAAATCTCAGCTAAAATGGATTCTTCAAAATTCTAAAATGACTTGATCAGACATGTGATTTTTGTTGTGAGCGCCCACAGCTTGGACTAGACAAGAGGGGAGCACACTGGCTTCCTTCCTTTGTAGTCGCCCAGAGTGCTGGGGGACAGAATGAGGAGGCCAGAGGAAGGCAGACCGAAACCGTTCTAGGAGATGGAAGATTCAAGAGAAGGGAGAGCAGAAGGAAGAGGGAGAAGAAAAGAGGAAGAAGAAAAGGAGAAAAATCAAGACTGAAAGTATGGAGATCGCTAATGACTGGAGGCTTCCAGAGCCTCCACCTCTGCCCTCTGACCTCCTGACCCTGCAGATGCCTCAGTCCTTTCGGGGAGCCAGGACAAGCACGGGTGTGTTCACACATTATCCCTAGAGACTTCTCTGATGACCCCTCTTCAAATATTCTATTCTGGACCATCATTCCATTTTTGTTGGACAAGGACCCTGTCTCTCTGCAACTCCATTTATCCTGTCGTCTACCCTGGTGTCCCAGTGTCCCGATTCCTGTGTGAAACCAGGGAACTCACAGCGGGGCTGATCACTGTAAGCCCTGCTCAAGTGGCAGCAGATGCCTGAAGGGCCTGGAAGCTACCTATGCTATCAGACATTGACTGAGAGGTCACAACGGTCCCGGTGGCAGGCATGGGCTGCTTAGACAGCCTGCTGCCCAGGTTCAGGTTCAACGTCTGCCTGCCTTTACCGAAAAGAGTGACCTTGGGCCAACAAACTGCTTCCTTCCTTGGTTTTCTAGTCTCTAAAGTGTCGACGGTGATAGCCCTCGCCTGGGAAGCAGCAGGTTAAATGGGTACTGACATGGGTAAAGAGGGGGCATGGTGCTTGGCATCCAGCATGTGCTGTCTTGAGCACAGGCTGGCATCATCTTCCTGTCTACGGCTGGAGGAGTCACAGGATTACTTGACTTTACAGCTTGGCCTCTCAGAGATGGGAGCCAACCCACAGATAAGATGCTGCTGGGATAAGAAGCCCGGACCAACATCCTACTTACTTAAATATGGGGTAATAACCCAGGGAGCTGCAGAGAGAGTTGCCGCTGCTACAGTATGAGGAGGAAGAGGGCAGCTACAAAATAAAGTTGGACTCCACTCTCTCCTACACAGTGCCACCGAGCCAATATGACAGCATGCCCCACCTCCCCATGTTTGGTTTAATTCCTTAATTACCTCAGCGGTTACTGAACTTAGGTTTTGACATGATCTGATTAACCAAAGGAATCCATCTTAATACAATGTGGCCAGGGTTTAATAGTCATCATTAAACTATCATTTACATACAACTGCTCATACATAGTAGATGGCTTTTCTATTCAACCATAGATGCAGTGAAAAAAAAAATTTAGGCTAACATTCATCCTTTCTTATTTTGGGGATGAGAGGAAGCCTGACAGAAGCCTTCAGAGTGCAACCTTTGCAAGCCCACTCCAAGCTGCCTTCCTGTGTCTATACCACACGCATCTGGAAAGTTCCCTGAACCAGGGCAGCACTGGGTAGCATGAAAGCTGCTCCCATTGAGATTCTGGAGCTGTGGTGGTCAATGAATGGGCTGTTGTTTTTGTTTTTGAACCATGTAGACACTTTTTTTCCCTTGATTTTGAATCCTCTAGGTATTCTGTTGGTACCCATACACAAAGTAAAGGAAATTCCATAGTCACTGAGTAACTTTAACATTAGTCTTGCTAGAAGCCCATAGGAAGAGAGGAGACTATAACAACCAAAAGGATGCCATTAAATAACAAAGCAGAGCATACTGCTTGATGGCTAAAGATGCTGTGGTGGTTTTCAACATGGCTGCTGGAAGGAGGCTGGAGATTTGCCCAGCGTGCACATGCCCCGTGCAGTCTAGCTTCTGTTGGCATCTGTGGTCCAGCCTACAATGCTGTCTGTCCTTCACAGCCTTGGAGCATCCCTCCCCTTCTTCATACCACTCACTCTCGCCAAGGCAGCTCCAAGGAAGGTTCTTCCGGCAGACCTTGTCATGCTGTGCATGTTCTTAGCTTATGGGGTCAACCAAGGGTATCTGCCCAGGCGTCCCCATGGCTAATTCTCATACCTTCAAGCCTTGTTTGGCTCTCATCTTCCCAGCAAGACCCTGTTTAGCTCCCCTGCCATCCCACAGCACCGACTCTCCTTAGCTCTGACTTCCCCTGACTGCCACTGATCTCTCTCTAACCTACTGTGTTGATTTTCCCATTGTCTATCATTCCCTGTCTCTGCCCTGTTGGAAAGCGAGTTCCAGGAAGGCAGAGAGCCTTGCCTGTTGTGTTCACAGGTGCATTTCCACAAAGTGGGGCCGGAAAGATGCTTATTAGTGAGGGAGCACCTTGCTAGGGTACTAGGGTAGCAACCTCAAATGAGACTGTGTGCCTGGGAAACGAATGGCCTCCCTTTGCGGAACCTCTCTCCCTTCCCAGGTCATACCGTGCATCTCTCTCTCACTGTGGGAACACTTGCCTCCTCTGTCCCACAAGTGCTTAGGTGCCTCCTCTCGGGCCGACGTAAGTGCAAAGCCCACAGTTACCCCCATCACAGTTCTTGGGTTCTGTCTGACCAGAGCTCTTCACACATTGTCCAGGAAGAGGCTTTGGAGCCCTGCTTTCTCACTCTGGCAGTAACTGTGAGCCACCACTGCTCCCTGTCACAGCAGGGCACCCGGGTCTCCAAAGCTGGGGGCCTTGCAGGGATCATTCTGCAGCAGGCTGGAGGCATGGCAGAATCTCAGAGGTGGGTGGGCTGAAGATCTGGCCTCTGCAGTCTCCCATGCCCGTCAGGTCCTCTCTTACAAGAGGGTTAGGATAAACCCTGACAGACTTGTTCACTGGGCTTCCCCCAGTGAAGGGGAGGGTGAAACCAGAGGTGGAAATAGACACTTTTAGCATCCTCTCCATCCCTGCAGCCTCCAACTCCGTGCCTGCTAATGCGTGAGACAGCTGCAAAACAGGATTCACAGAGAAAATCAAAGGGAAAAGGTAGTTCATAAAAAAGGGAGGACTTCTTTTTCTGTCTTGCCCACCAGCTCCCATATGAATGATCTCATTTCCCGAGACCTACGGCTGTAATAGCCCATAATTACTTAATCATTCTCAC